GTTTAGGGCTTAGGTTCAGGGTTTAAGGTTGACGGTTTAGGGTTTTGGGGCTTTGATAATTAGCAGACGGCTCCTTAGGGTTCAGGGTATTGGGTTTGGGGTTTAGAGTTTAGGTCTTAGGGTTTAGGGTTGACGGTCTAGGATTTTTGGGTTCAGGGTTATTATTTAGGGTTTAGAGTTCAGAGTTTAGGGTTTGACGGTGTAAGGTTTTAGGGTTTTAGGGTTGTTTAGGGTTTAACTTTGACGGTTATGGATTTTGGGGTTAGTGTTTAGGGTTTAAGCTTGACGGTTTAGGATTTTGGGTTTAGAGTTCAGAGTTTAGGATTGACGGTTTAGGGTTTGGGGGTTTAGAGTTGAAGGTTTAGAGTTCAGAGTTTAGGGTTTGACGGTGGAGGGTTTAAAGAATGAAGGGTCAGGATGGTTTAGGCCATACGGCTTAGGGTCTAACGCTCTTTCATGGAAGGGATATCGAAACTAGGTAGGCCTTTGAGATATTTTATATTATCCCTTATTGGGCTTAAGAGGACCCTATGTACTAATATTTTTCAGAGGCTTTAGAGGACCAACCAGGAAAGGCTTTGAGAAAGGGTTCAGGCGCCTGACTGGTCCATGGTTGAGACGTGCGAGCTCAGCCGCTCGCGGTTGGTTGAGTGCAGACCGGCGCAAAGCTTGGCGATCACCGAACACCACGGCGATGCCCGATGGGGGCCTCCAGAACAGCAGTGCTACAAGCACGAGTCATGAGTCATGAGAGACATTCTTCTTTTCAGCGGCCACTGGATGAGCGATGCGAACAAGAAGTGTTCCTTGGTGGTGGACGACTGCACGCCAAAAGCGAGGTCGTTTGCTCGGGTTCCGGGGTCCCGGGTTCGACGTTCTGGGGGTCGTTTGGGAGGGTCCCCAAAAGGAGCAAACGACCTCATGGTCGCAACGAGCTGGACGATGTCAAACCAAAAAGCGAAGTCTTTCGCTCTGGTTCGGGGGTCCGGCCTCCTGCCGAGTATTGGCACTGTTATTAGCACTCTTTGTCGAGGTTCTTTTTGTCCGGGGCGTGGTGCGTTCCGTGTCTCGGGGCGTCGGGGATTTAGCGCGTCCTCTTTGATGTCCCCTAAGCCCTAAGCCCTAAACTAAACCCTAAACCCTCATTGGGGTGGTTCTCTAAATTAGGGTACCTGTTTAGGTCCCCAATATAGTACGGCACCCTTATAAAAAGGACCCTAAATTTAAAAGGGGATCCTAATTTAGAGAACTATCCATTTGGCGTTCCGTTTGGTAGGATTTCCCTCGAGTGAAGGTCGGCCGAGCATCTTCTACGGATTCACATTGCTTCACAACGGTTCGCATGCGGGGTTTTTGTGTGGTGCTAGAAGGCGGTATACAAGGGCTCTATCAGTTATTGCAGCGGCTAGGGTGTGTATGAGACTTTGCAACTTTTTCAAGGTGAATCATCTGGGTTGTCTGAGGCATTGATGCTTTGAACTTGCAGCCTCACAGTCAACGGCATCTATGAAACCGGCACGCAACCCATGGGAAACTCTAATTTTTCGACCCGATCCAAACCCCAAACCCGAAAAAATGTAGATAGGTAACCTGAGCCTCAAGTCCCTCAACCCTAAACCCCAGATCCCCTTTTTGCACCTGCCTACGCACTAAACCTCGAACCCCTCAAAAGCAGAGTAAGGATGCCGGGTAGGTGACCGGCATTTGGTGGCATAGCTGAAACAGGCAATGTGCAAAAACCGGAAAAAGGATGCATTCAGGCGGAAAAGCCGCTGGCAAAGGCGCAGAATCCCTGTGACAGGTCGATGGTTTTAGGGAAAATGGTGCTGGCACTGCAGGAAGTACAACTTTTTCGAGCACTGTGTTGCGCAAACTTTGTCAGCGGCACTTGTTGGCCCGTTTGCAGAGCGCTGCAAGACTGGCGTACACGAAGTCGAGAGGTAGATTTTGAGAGCTCCCTCTCCCGAGCCATCTCCCCCAGAAATGGTATCTTAGAGGACGTAGAGGACGCACACCCGGCGGCGTCCTCACCAAAAGCAGAGGCCCCTAACATGAAACCCGAAACAGTCGGATCTTGTGTGTGTGTCGATAGACAGATCGACAGATAAATAGATAAATGGATGGGTTGTAAACCCTAAACCCCAAACCCTAACCCCTAAGCCCTAAACCCCAAACCCTATAGACCCTAAGCCATTAAGAGGATTCGGTGCCGAAGCTTCTCACAGGCCATTGATGCGCCGGCAGCTGCCCAGCTGCTTCAGCTGTCGACCTGGTGCCAAGAACGCTTTGGTGGTCTGCTCGAGGCCTGGGTGTGGGTTTAGGGTTTCGAGTTTAGGTTTTGGGTTTTAAAGATTAATGTTTAGGGTTTAGGGTCTAGGGTTTAGGGTCTAGGGTTTAGGGTCTAGGGTTTAGGGCAGTTAAAAGGCTTGGGGCTTTTGGCGCTTTAGGGCTTTTTTGGCCTTTTGGGCCCCTGTAGGGGTTTAGGGTGTAAGGCTGTAAAGGATATAGGGTCTAGGGACTGCGAGACTTTGGGGAGTTTCTGGTTTAGGGCTCCTTTCTATGGGTCAAGTGCAGGCACGGAATGCAGATGGGTAGTTCTCCAAGGTAGGGTCCCTTTCTTGGTCCCCAAGATAGTACGGCACTCGTCTAAAGAAGACCCTAAAGGTATCCTAATTTAGAGAACGACCCATGTGGTACCCCCCCTTTATAGAAGCCCTTATAGATCCCTTTCAGGAACCCTCAAAGGGTCCCGAATTGAGAGACTTGCTCCCAGATCGAGGGTTTCGGGTTTGGGGATAGGACTTCTTCGTTTCGCGGATGAGAGAGTTTCGGTCTTTGGGGTTCAACATCCAGGGCTTAGGGTTTAAGGTTTAGGGTTTAAGGCGCTGGGGTGTTAGGACTAAACCCCAACCCTAAACCCTAAACCCTAAACCCCTAAACTCTAACCCGAAAGCCTAAACCCTACGCCCGCTTAAGACAGAGAGGCCTGGCTGGCTCTTGGCGGCCCGTGCTGTGGCCACGCCTCCACGGACGAAGTCCTGGAGACCATGGTCTCGCTAGGGGGCCCCGAAGCTCAGGCCTCCGACATGTCGGCCTTTTTCTTTTTTTTAGGCACCTTTATAAGGGGGTGTAGGGTTTCGGCTGTCGGGGGTTTAGTGTTGGTTTACGGGTTTCAGGAATACTAATGATGATAGCAATGATGATGATCCTACTAGAAAACTGAAGAAGAATCATACTGATAGTAATAACTATAATAGCAATGATAACCATGATAATAATAATAACAACCGTAACAATACTAACAATGATAGCAACAACAAGAGGAGCACTGAAAACAATATCACTACTCTTCGAATCTCTGGCAAAACTGCAGTGCTGTGATCTCGGTTGTAGGATGGTTTTTGGTACAGGTTCTGTAACGTTGATTTCTAGAAAGGTTCTAGAAGCGGGTTCTTGCTAGGGAGCTTAGTTTGAGCTTCCGGGTTCAACGTCTCGGGCTTAGTGTTTGAGTTTGAGGTTCAAAGTTACCGCGGTTCTGAACATCATGGGTTCTTGAAGTTTACCATTCAACCCTAAGCCCTAAACCCTAATCCCATTAAGCTCATAGCCCATTAAACCCTAAACCCATCAAGCCCTAAACCCCTAAACCCCTCAACCCATTAAGCCCTAAGTCATTCCAAAATCGAAGCTCTCGACTCGCGTTTGCAAAGTACAGCAGTTCCCGGGGTGGAGACGCTGGGTTAGTGTTTGTAATGCTTACGTTGGACGGTTTAGCGTTTGGGGTTTTCCGAACCAGAACCCAAAAAACACTGTACTGAGGGTTTGCAACGTTTACGTTGAACGGTTTAGGGTTGAGGGTTTTCTGAACCAGAGCAGCAAAAACACGAAGCTAAATCTGCAAGCCCCGTGGCCCATTACACCCTCTCAGATCCTTGTTCAGAACGCTTCAAGGACTCAAGAAAGATAGTTGTAAGGACCGTTGAGGCCGAAACCCTAAACCCAAAGACCTTCTGAAGAACCATACAGCCCTAAACACGGGTTTAGGGTTTAGTGTAGGGTTTTAGGGAGGGGACCCTAAACCCTAAACCCTAAAAACCTTAAACCCTAAAGCCCTAAAGCCCTAAACCCTAAGACCCTAAAGCCCTAGAGCCCTAAAGCCGTAAGACCCTTCTAAACCCTAAACCCTAAACCCTAAATAAACCCTAAACCCTAAACCCCCCCCACCCCCCCAAGCTGAGGAGGAAAGATGCCGGTCGCTGCTGGACCCCTGGAGCAGAAACGCCTTGTGCGCCCAGGACTTCTTCGTCTTGGAGCAGGAGCTGTGCCGTTTTGGGAGTCAGGGGGGTTTAGGGTTTAGGGTTTAGGGGGTTTAGGGTTACGGGTTAAGAGTTTAGGGGTTTAGGGGCTTAGGGGTTTAGGGCCTGTTTAGGGTTCAGGGTTTAGGGGTTTAGGGTTTAGGGGTTAGGGTGTAGGGTTTAGGGTTTATTGTTTAGGGTTTAGGGTTCAGGGTTTACGGTGTAGGGTTTAGGGTTTATGGTTTGAGGGCTACGAACAGAAAGCTGTTCAGGATTTGGGCGTTGAGTTTCTTTAGTTCCAGGAAAGACTGGCAGACTTCAGGTGTTGGGAAGGACCGGCCACCGAAGCAACAGCAGCAGCAAGAACAATCATATCATCACCAGTGTCACCGCAACGACCCGAGCAACGATGGCCACAGCATCGCTGACGACGACAGCCAGGAATACTACTGTCATGACATTGCCAAGATGAGCATTAGCACCACACGACAATGTTCATGTAGATCTAGGGGCAAGAACAACCAACTGCAAACCCCAACACCCGCAACACCCCAAACCATCCCAAACCCTAAACCCTAAACCCTAACTAAACCCCAAACCCTAGACCCCCTAAGCCCTAAAGTTCGGACCCCTAGCGCTCAAACCTGCAGGACCCCCAGCGCCGCCAAGAGCTTGACCGGCGCTGGCGCGAAGCCTGCGAAGCCCCCGAAGCGGCGAGTACGAGCAATGCGCAGAACCTGCTGACTTCCTTGGTTGCTGGATTCGGTTAAGGGTTACGGGTTTAGGGTGTAGTGTTAGTCTTTCAGTTTGTTCTTCTTTCTGTGCTTCAACGACTTCGGGTTTCCACAAAATAAACAGAGCCGGCGATTCATGAGATAGAAGCAGCAGCTTGATTCGTTTTGGCTCCAGAGCCCAGGTCAAGGGCTCGACCGCCCTGGGCGGAAGACACTGGACCACTTTTCGATTACCCGAACCTGGGGCCAAGTTACGGAGAGGGCCAGGTAGGGAACTAGCATGGTTTAGGGGTTTAGGGTTTAGAGTTTAGGCCTTAGGGTTGAGGGTTTAGATGCCTTCCTGATCATGGCAACGTACGTAAGGAAAGCACGTGATCCAGTCTTCTTCCTGCTAGCATGGTGTCCCTGCCTCCATCCAACACGTACATACCACACAAACATAGCTTACATATACACATACCTACATGCATACACACATACGTACATGCGTACATACATGCGTGCATATGTACATACATACATACATACATGCATGCATGCATACATACATACATACCTTGATACATGTATACATAGATACATACATACATACATACATACATACATACATACATACTTAAATATATACAGACAGACAGACAGACAGACAGACAGACAGACAGACAGACAGACAGACAGACAGACAGACAGACAGACAGACAGACAGACAGACAGACAGACATACATGCATACACAAATGAAAGCATACACAATTGCAGGCAGTCATACATCATAGACACTAGACACATCGCTCCATGCATGCGTACATGACATTCATATACACCTGTCCATACATGTCCCATTTTGGCAACCCGAAGCCTTAAACCCTAAACCTCTGAACCCTAAACCCTAAACCCTAAACCGTATAAACCCTAAACCCGAAACCCTGAACCGTAAACCCTAAACCCAACCACAGCCCAGGAACCCTCGGAGCCGCTCCCTCTCTGCGCGCCCCGGGCGCGCAGCGGGTCGCGCTGCGAGCCTCGCCGGGAGCCGCGGCCAGCGCGCCTCCCGCGGCTAGAGAAGCCCAAGGTGTCCGAACTCCCGGAGGTGCCGGGGAACCCGATGGTTCGAAGCTTCTTTAGATTTTGATAAATCAAGGCCAAGTTACAAAGATGAAAGGTTACTTCTAAACCCTGAGGCCTAGACAGAACCTCAACTCTAGACCTGAAGCTTTACGTCCGATGCCCCCGAAACTTTTTAATCCCCCAACCGCAAGCCCGAAGCCTTGATCCTTACATCTTAGACCCTAAACCCGAAATCCCACGCTGTACACGAATTCCAATCCTCAAGCCCTAGATCTTAAGGACTAAAAATTTGTAGTGTAAGCTCTGAACCCTTAGCTCGAGATTCGACACCTTAAACCCAACGAGGTGCCAAGGAGACACCAACCTCAGACTCGCAGCATCTACGAGCAGCGGCAGTTTCAGCAGAGTCGCAAGTCACGGTCGCTGCCGATGCTGAAGAGTGCCTAAGTTCTTGAGACAGTCATACCTGTTTAAAATGATTTGTTTATGAGGGTTGTATGTATGTTTTGTAACAAGGGGTGTTAGGAATCATGTTCCAGGTCTTACATGGGCGGACAGCAGTCGGACAGCACAACAGTCCCTCATATATACACCCTATTAAGCCCAAAACCCTAAGCCCTCAACCCTAAACCCTACGCCCGATTAAGGCAGCTTAAAGTACGTGGTTTACCAAATTCTCAGGTGAGAGCGCCGTGGTCCCGCATTGGGCGCCAGGGCCTCCTGGGCGACAAAAGCCGGCAAAGCGCTACAGAGTTTTGAAGCGGCAGTTAAACCCTAAACCCTAAACCCTACAGTTTGGGAAGCTTTCTTCATGGTACCTTCTGGGAACGACGTACCTGTTACATGAAGCCTGAAACCTTAAGCCCTCAACCGTGCCAGGTGATGCCTCTGGGGAAGGACCAGATGCTTTTCGAGCACTTTGAGAAAGCCTTGAATGGACCCTATGGCGACATTCGGTCGGAGTAGCAGGAAGAATTCATGGTTTCACATCTGAGATGCCAGACTCGCACCAGCACGCACTCAAGTCGTAGAGTCTTGAGCGCAAGAGGGGAGCTTGTTGTCATTTTGCGCTTCAAATCTTTTCAGTTTCATCTGCAAATCCCGGATGTTCTGAAATTGATCGGAGTCGCAAGCGCAAAGTTTCTGTTGTTTCCAGTACAGGGGGCCCGAGCAAGTTGGCGGTCTTGTCTGTCAGGGCTACCTAATACAGGGGCCTACATACCTATATCATTTTGGGGGTTCCTTATTACAAACGTAGTATAATATTCCCCCAAACCCTATTCTAACTGTTCAGGCCCATACAACTGATGTAATTGTAACAAAGAGCCCCTTCAAATCCTTACGGTTGATGATGTAAACCCTGCGTTACCCACAATAAGGAATAAAGCCTAATTCCCATAGTTTAGGGTCCTTATAAGGCAATGCAGGATTTATATCATCAACAGTAGTCTCATGTTGGAGCCAAGTCCTCGACCTTGCAAAAGCCCGCAAACCCTGTTGCCCTGCTCCAAACCTAAACCCTAAACCCTAATCCCTACACCTTAAACCCTAAACCCTAAAACACTAAACTCTAAACCCTGAACCCAGAAACCCTAAAGCCCTAAAGCCCTAAACCCTGATCCCCAAACCCAACCCCGGGGACCCTGATGTAAAGCTGGCCCGAAACAACCCGAAATGACGTGGTTTTTGTCTTTCTGAAGCCAATACGCTGCAGATTCCTACCAGGACACGTTAGAAGCCGATTTGTTAAACCCTGCAGAAAGCCTCGTCACAAGAAGCGGCAACACACACAGAACCGTTGCAGAACTGACATGTAAACGGGAGAACCTGTCGACACCCCCCAAATCTTCAAAGGAGCCCTTGAAGCTAACCGTTAGAGGAGCCCTTAAAGGAAGGAACCCTTAAAGGAAGAACTTCAAGGAGCCCTTCAAGGAAGAACTTCAACGAGCCCCTAAAGGAACCCTTAAAGAAGGAACTTCAAGGAGCCCCAAGCCGGGGGGGGGGGTCGATTCACGTCCTCCCCGTCTGTTCAGGCGCGCTCCGCGCGGCAGCGAGCGATCCCGCCGCAGCTGGCAGGCACGAGTTGGGCGTTGGAGTTTCGGGTTTAAGGGTTCTTTAGGGTTTAGGGTGTGGGTTTAGGGTTTAGGGTTTAGGCTTTAGGGTTTGAGGCTTTAAGGTTTGGAGTTTAGGGTTTAAGGTTCCGGGTTTAACGGTTTAAGGTTTGGCGACGTGCTGTCTCAGCGAGGTTTAGGGTTTAAGGTTTAGGGTTTAGGGTTGAGGGTTGAGGAGTCTGAAAAGAACTCAGAGCACCCAACTCCCCCTTGAATCATAAGTTTTATGAAGCCCCCGAAGCATGGTGAAGACTAGGACCTAGGAGGTTGGATGTCTGGTCTCCAGGATCCTAGGATATTCAAGTGCTTAGGGCTTGGGGGCCTTTGGGGTTTATAGGCTTCAGGGTTCAGGCTTTAGGGTTTGGGGCTTTAAGGTTTGAGGTTTAGAGTTTAGGGTTTGGGGTTTAGGGTTTAGGGTTTGGGGCTTTAAGGTTTGAGGTTTAAGGTTTAGGGCTTTGATTGAGGGGTTGCCTTTTAAGCGCTGCCGGTCGTGCCGAGATTCGGGTTGGGTTCGCCAAGGCCTTTTCGGTCAGAGCTTCTGGTCTAGAGGAGCTCTTTTGGACCGGTGTCTACGCGTACCCTCCCTCAGAACACTGCGTGGTTTGCCGTGCTCGCCCAGCAGTCTCGGTTCGATCCCAACTGAGGATTAACGTGATGATGGAACCCAGCGATCGTGAAGTGTCGCAGCTGGGGACGAAGCATGAAAGAATGAAAATGCGACGATGCAACCATGATCGGTGCGTGCCACTGCATGGGAGTGAGGCCCTGCAGCCGCAACGGCGAGCCCTGCGCCTGGCGACGCTGCCGGCCTCAGTGCCATCACCCTAAACCCTAAACCCTAAACCGTGATTATTCCAGCATCTTCCAGCCAGGCTTCACCCATTGGCTGATAAAACCTCCATTCAGGATCACCCTTTGCCCGGCGCGTGTGCGTACAGCGAGGCATGGGCATGCCGAGGTCTAGGAATGAGCAGGTAGAGGATTCCGGAGTGTACTAACCACGAAACCCTAAAGCCCTGAACCCCTAAACCCGAAAACCCTACACAGAATCTGCAAGCGCCTAGAACCCCACGAGCCCACAAATCCCTATCTTACCCAGCCTTCAACCCTAAAACCTAAGACCTAAACCCTAAACCCCAAGCCCTAAACTCGCAGGTTTCAAGCTGGAGCCGGAAAGCTCAACGCCTCGACCGCAAGGAAAGCCCGAAGGGGTTTAAACCCTTGGAGAGGAAGGGTTTAGGGTTAGTCCACACCCTAAACCACAAGACCCCCCACCAATAATAGGGTCCTTCCACCATGCAAAGCTTAAGCCGCTACACTGTCTAAATCATCAAAGCAGCCCTTGTGATGTAAAAACACCTTTTTAGAGGAGCAGGATAGGTATCCAGAAACCTCTAAACCCCGGGACACAAATCCGAAATCCCAACTCCTAACTCCCCTAAAAAAACTGGGAGTGTTTTCGAGGATCCCGGGCGCTGGGCCGCCACAGCCCTACCCTCCGCGACGCTGGCCTTGGGCACCTTACAAGGTGCGAAGGGGATCTAAAGCCCTAAAACCCTAAACCC